TTGTCAAAATGCTTCAAATGGTTTGGTTCTAGTTCAGGACATGCCCACATTAATGTCAACTAAGAAAATTAAGTAGAGAAATGGATCAGAGCAAAATTGTAGAAAAATATGTGCGCAATGTTAGGGAATGTATTTTGGACCATTTTTTTGACATAGTACAGCCAAGCTGACCCTATGGACAGTAGAAGGGGAGTAAGTGGTCACCACCAGAATCAAATTATCTTTAAAGGATTACTGAAAGGTAGGACATGCCTCCCGGGGCCACCCTGCTGACCAAAATGGAGCGCAAGAGCATCAAACATAGTCCAAATTTTGGTCATTTTTGACAGCTTTAACTCATATTGCCCCCCTTAATAATCGTCAATCATATGGAAAGACCCCCTTGACCCACCAACTGGCCTATCACACCAGCCTGAGTACACGGAAAAAGAGGGTTGGTTAGGGTAGCCGGCATATTTATCGGTTGAAGGCTGCTAGTTGGGCCACCATTGCATTTAGTTGGGAGAACTGATTTTAGGATGTCGGTACCCCTGCAACTTGGTTACATGATTTTTTTAAAAGTCAATTTTTGAGCTAGAATTCTCACCCGAAAGTGTCACCTCTTTTTATGATACAAAACTACTCTGAAATTCCCGGATCGATATCTTAGTTCCTTCTCGACTTATCGTGCGTACAGATCGACAGACAGACAGACAAACAAACAGAATGAAGCTTTTCTGGTCAGTGGAGTAATGGGCTTCGCTAATCGCTCAGCCAAAAAAGTATAGCTAAGCCAACCAACTTTCTAGTTACGGGTTACGGGTTAACGCAACCAACTCGTTTTTTCCGTGTACTGTGGACTTTTGTCTCTCTAATGCCGCTCTCGAATTTTGAATATCACAATAATTTTGTTTCGTGCAAAATTAGGGCGCATGCCTGTAATTTTCGTCAGGAATGAATGAATTCCATAACCGCTCCTTCACGATGAGGATGAAGTGCCCTATAAAAATCCTTTGTCACGATGACGAAAATACCGTGGCTTATTTTTAGTACAGGGGTGTCGTCATGTATTTTCTCGTCACGGTGACGAGAAACCCCGTATCATGCGACGAAAAAACCCGTCACCACACCCATGTCCTTTACTAAAAACTAGCCAGGGTATTTTCGTCATCGTTTCAAAGAATTCTCACAATGTGCAGTGACCAGATCGTGCGCTGGTTCCCATCTGGACGTTCATGGATTCATCACAACGCATCTGCAACGAAAATAGTAAAAAAAATTACTTTTGCCAATTAATGAATGGGGGAGACATTCTCTGTTGAGCTCACCCGGTGAACCAGTTCTTTACCCACCCGCGGGCTATGCATAGTACTCAACATGTCCTTAGAAATGGCTTTGTTTTTGTTGTGAATTTGCAGGCAAAGCCGAGAGTGTGATGGATCATCTGGTGCGAAACTCCCCTTCAGTGTACAAAGAGACAAATGAAGTTTCAGCAGAACATTATAAACGCTATAAGGAAGACCTCGCTCTTGCGAAGGAGTTAAAGGTATGTTTTTATTTTGAACTGATTCTTGTAGGGGCAGACGTAACCTTTGACTTTAAATTTACTCTCTGCTGTTAAATAGTTTACGACACACCGATTTTCCATATCTTGGTCAAGGATTTTCCCTACTGGCGATAAAACAAAACCGAATGAGAAAGCTGTCGCTTACTATCGAGAATATTTAAGAGCGACTCGAGACAATGGGATGGAGCCTTTCGTAAGTACATTGAATACTCCCGAATGTGATGACCGCACTTTTATTAAAACATGTCTCTAATCGACGTTCTCTAAATAATGCTGACATAAAAGGTTAAAAATAACCCTGTCAAGTTTACATAAAATGCCGTTTCGTGTCTTTGCTTGTTGAAAATACATTTTGATAATTATAAGCTCATTTGAATTCCATTTCAACTGAACGCAGCAAGGGCTACAATATCCAAACGTGTTCGGGGATTAATGAGCTCTACCCAAAGGCTCTGTGGGTCGCACAGGTGCTCCCGGTGTAAGTTTTTGTCGCTATCCCTTGACCATAAACGAGTTTATCTCACTTGAAATTTGGATGCTGAAGAGTTCACACAAACCTACCTTTGTAATTCGATATTAAGACCTCCACGAAGAAATGTAGGGTGGACGGTATCGAATTTCAAATCCAATCAATCTAAATATTTCCGAAAGAGAATGTCCATCGTAAGTCACGATTCGATGATCAGACAGCGAAATGGGCCCGCTTTCTTCCCTCCGAATGCTCAATGTGTGGCGGTGTTTGAATGGTGTTCGTAGCAACAAAAAAAGCAAAAAAACGAACACTGTTCTCGAACCTTATTTATGTTGGCCGATCAGGCTCGCTTACAGTCAGTTCTCTCACAAATTTAGTCTACTTTCACCAGAGCACAGCAAAAATTTGATCCGTAGCGAAATCGCGGAGAAAATGACAAAACGAGATTCGTGCACGGGCCTGCCTGGCCGTTACTCGTCGAGCTTGCTCTGCCGACTATCTTCTCACTCATTTCGGACGACCGAAACTGGGTCGCAGGCACGCTGGGATGTAGCTTTACTCCTCCCCTTCCGATTCATTACTCGTTGTCATAGTATTTCAGACGTTTTGATAGAATATGGTTGAGTTTACTGAAGCGCTGCAGTCGTGCGCGGCTCCTCCCGGCTCCTGTCGCCGCGCGCCGAGGCCAGGGGTGGGGGCCAGGCCTCGCTACCGCATGGGGTCACGCCTAAGCGACACGTTTCCACCCCTTTGAACAAACGCGCATCACTGCCATTGCTAAAATGTTCACTGTACCCATACCATCGAACATATAAACGGTCACAATAACCAACACTTTTTTCCGTGTAGACACTGCTGAGGCACCGTCTGTTTCTCTATGTTGTCTGATTCGAGTCTGGAATAGAAGCCGCCACAGTAGAGACATTACTTACGTAATAAGCCACGAGCTTGTGACAACTACCCGAGCGTGTCTCCTCCATGTAAAGCACTTAAAGGTATGCATTTTTAATGTTCTATTCCAGGTCACGATGTTTCACTTTGATCATCCATATTCCCTTGAGGTAGAAACTGGGGGCTGGAAAAATAGAACAATGGTTACAAAGTTCGTCGAGTACGCCGAATTCCTATTCGAGTCATTCGGCGATGCCGTAAAATACTGGAGCCCTATTAACGAAGGCAATATGTACTGCGGTTATGTACCACCAGCATTAGGCTACGCTGGTATGGAATCTTACGATCCGCACACGTTCTACGAATGCTTACACAATACAATTCTAGCTCACACTTTAGCATATCGCCTTTACAAGGAAAAATTCTACGCACAGCAGAAAGGTACTGAAACAATATATGATGTTGAGTGCATGACCGTATTTTGTTGCCCCCGTTTTCCTCTCTTAACATATGTTTCTGTACTCTCTGTCTTAGGAAAAGTTGGCATATCTGTTTTGATGTGGCCAGCAACTCCGAACACTCAGGATTTCAAAGACAGTATTGCTGCAGACATTTTTAACAACCTAATGGCTGGGACCGCTGTTGATCCAGTTGTGCACGGTGACTACCCTCCCCTTAGCCGGTACTTAATTGACAAACGGTCAACCGAGCTTGGTCCTCTGGGATCAAGGCTTCCGCATTTCACTGAAGAAGAGAAAACAGCGTTGGTGGGCGGTGAGTATCCATGCAGGCAACCCACACCATTCAACATACCAACAATTCGTTAAGTTTGACATCATTGTGTAAGTTAGCGCTTGCGTTCCATTCACGAGACGTATGTATCTTCAGGTGGCCCAGCGTCAGATTTCGTTGCCCTCAACCTGTATAGTGGTTTTAAAGTGGAGTACGCCAAAAATGCGTCTGATCATGGAAATTTGCCCGTCGCGGCAGTGCTTCAGCCCGTTCTTGACGACATGGAACATGTGAGATTAATATCGGGAGGAACCTTCGATGTGGTGAGTTTATCTGGCGTTTTAGTGCAGGATGTTGACGTACCACCAAAGCCCCTAAATCCGGACGATTTTTAGAGAAAATGTCCTGTGAAATCCGTAGTTTTGATAAAATTGAAAAACGATGGTGGTTATAAAATCTTCGAACCAAGACAAACCTGCTACCATCTTGCTTGAACGATTTTTTATCACATACGGGGTACCTGTGAGGCCCGCTAGAAAAGTGTGCGCGTTTTGAAACCAAGGACAGCATTCAAAAATTATGTAAAGTAAAAAGCTGTTGGGGGGAATAGAAACTTCATGAAAAAGTATGACCTCACCCTACCAACGAAATTTTCGTATCCGGTAAAGTTTGGCCGGCAGAACTGCTTAAAGGCTGCTTTTTAACGTGTTTTAAACTTACTTAAATTGGGACGATAGTCATTTTGCATGTAAAAGCCAATGTCCCTGGTTAGGGGACTTTCGGAAATCGTCTCTCAAACTTGACATATGTGACAAACGAAATTTTCATGTGTCATCTTGTAGGTAAAGAGTCCTTAGTTTCTTATATGTCAACGTAAAAGTTGTACGATCACCCACCGTTGAGAGCCCCACATTCTCGCGAAGCAATATAAAAATTTCCCGTTTTGTGACGCCCCAAAACGCAAGTTTGGCATTTTTTTTAGAGAGAACAGTATGCCAGATATCGGAAATATTTCTTCAAATCAGGATTCTAGAAGGTCTAACCTTTCCAGCGAACCTTCGGAAGCTATATTCCGGATACCTGTTTTCGATTTAGGGCCTTTATTAGTAGAAAACAGCAAAGTGTCCCACGTTAGGGCGCTAGTCCCGATTTGGGGGCTTTGATTGTACTAAGTAGCCTGATATTTGTATTTCTTACTCTAAGTGCTGACAAAAATCCACGGTGGATCTATTGCGAAGCTCAGGCGTACGTCCTCTACTGAGCACAGCTGCTGGCCCCCTTGTAGTTCTGATCCTCTTTCCCTGCAGAGGGGCCCAAGCAGGAGGTGACCAACAACAGAACACCCTACCTAGGCTTGGCCTCGACCCTTGTGCAGGGAAAAGGATGCCAAACCAAAAGGTGTCCAGCAGCTCTGCGCGGCTTAAGGCGCACTGGTTTTAAGGTCGGGAACCTTAAGTCGCACAGTTGCTGGACACCCCGGATTTACAGTGTACTCCTCAGCACTTGTGGTCATGTGGCACAGCCTCACGGCTAATGCGCCACGGGTTGGGAATGCGACAACCGGGCGGTGTTGTGAGTACACTTCATCCGCTCGACACGTGCGGATAAAAACCGCTTACCTCTAGCGACCGTTTAGAAAACCGCTGACCTCTGGCGACCACCTGGAAAACCGCTCACCTCTAGCGACCGTTTAGAAAACCACTTAAAAAGGCTTTGTTTTTACACATTTTGAGATATTAGTATCAAAATGATCCCCGAAAGACTCTGATTCTGATGATACCAATATCTCAAGTTGTGTAGAAGAGTCATTTAAGCGGTTTTCCAAACGGTCTGCAGAGGTAAGCGGTTTTCCGGACGGTCGCCAGAGGGAAGCGGTTTTCTACCCGGTTGCTAGAGGTGAGCGGTTCTCATTCTCGTGTGTCGTGCTGCAGGTTGATGTACCCCATATCACTCACATGCCTCTGTTGTGATGTAATAAGAGTTTAGTTACATCAATAATCAGACGGATCTCTGACGAGCAGTGAGAACGAGCAGGCTGCTGATAACGTAGGATTTGGGTTTATTGACTCAGAATAGTACAGGTTACCTCCCTTGCACCTCGACAATTGGCAGGATTCCATAACGGCACTCATCGGAGGGGCAAGTCGGTCCAGATAGGCAGCAGCACACACGTCCTAGGAGGCTCGTCCGAGTGTGAGGTCTTTCCTCTCTTGAAGCTTGGCTCCAACTAACTGACTGGAAAATTACGTAGGGCTCAGCAGGGTCGCCTAGCAATGGTAGGGATTGTGATAAGAGTCCTCTTCCAAGACGAGTGCGTGGGTGCCGCGCCAGATGCATCCGAAAGCAATGTGCTGGGCAGAGCCTCACAGGCTTTGCACTGCGTAACACCTCCGCTAGACATTGAGAACTAGCACAGTCACAGCTACCAGTGCCTCCGGTGCGGCGTGACGGGCTGCGCGCTCTCGGACGGACAAGCACTAACTGGAACTCAGAGGCTGGGCGGGGCTGGGTCGACCAAGGCCTGACGGCGTGACCCGACTTACGGGTGGCTCCATTTTGCTATGAACAAGCAGTCGTAAAAGCTCTTTCGGAGAGAAGTAGAGGGCAGCTGGGGAGGAGTGCCAGTGCCGTTCCGCCTTCCGTTTCTGTCATTCTTACCTCATAGCTTCGCAGTCCATTGGAATACCCTATTGATTGCGTTGCGTTAACTTAGTGTTTATGCCGCTAGTTTGAGCCACAGCCCATCATTTCGGTTGGATTAGATGCCTCCAACTCTGAAGACTCCTAAGCCAAATTCGTCCTTCGGGGACAGATTGCCATAGTGGATGACTTTACTACTTTGATCCTGAAATGGTAAGAACACGGGCACGCCTAGTACAAATTGATTCTTTGACTTCGTATTGCAGAAAGATGACCAACCGATGCGAAATGCGTTGCTGTGGACCTGGAACAGATATCACCTGCCCATCATCATCACCGAAAACGGCTACGGAGATGTTGAAGGTCGTGGTATTCACGACTATGATACTAGAGCTGAATACTTCAGGGTAAGACTTCAGAATTACTTGGGTTATTTACGCTGCTTGACAGTAAAAAGGTTACAATAAGGATACATGTCTATGATAACCCGACAAAACAAGCCCTCTCGACACCTGGAGGTGGCGGGGCTAGTGTGAAAATCAACCCGCAAAAATATCAGACACTGCATTTTTTTTTACATTAACTTTCCTCGGCCGAAACTTGCGCGAGTATAATCAACCCTCCCTACGCACAAGCGGCTATCTTTTTGAGCGTGGCAGACAAACGGCTCTCTGTTTTTCTTTGAGGTTAGGGTTGTCCACGTTTATATTCAATAACTCCCGAAGCAAGAAACATAAAATTACCGGGTAAGAAATTTCCTGCTATGACAACCGCAAAGAGTAATTGGTTAAACGTTCATAGTGTTACACAACCTCTACAGGGAGATATTAGAACCCAAAGTCGCGAGGTGGGAAAAGCAGTTAGCCGTTTGTCTGCCACGCTCAAAAAGATAGCCTTTTGTTTACAACGCCCAAAAAGATAGCCACTTGTACGTAGGGAGGGTCGTAATGACCATAAAAACAAGAAGGCTCACCCTTCCGTCGAACGGAGCTACCAGCTAACACTACTTCGCTCTGCCGACAACTCCGTTTGGCAAGGGCCCGGCCTGTTTGGCCTTCCACTACTCATATTTGGATAAACTTTGGCTTCCCGGCAGGCCTGTCGCCCTTAGGATTTGCTCGTCGGATATGAGAAAAGACGTGCTAATGGTGCGACCCCGTCACTACGCTTTACTCTTCTACTTTAAAAAAGGAACAGGAAGAAGTAAGAAGAATAACAAAGCAGTTTTTTGCCTGTATGGTTTTTAAACAGCCTTAAAACGGGATTTTTAAATACATGCACCTATAGCTCCAAAACGGTTAAGGACACGGCAAATCCGAGGACCAGCCTCAATTCAGAATGCGATCTTTATATTATTTTTTTAATTTTTTTGTTTTTACCTTCTTTTGGTTGGGGGGGGGGGGGGGGGGGGCTACTTCTTCCTCTGTCATTTTAAGCCCGCTCTTCTGCTTTGTAAAAGCTAGAGGCCCGCTTAGGCTTATGCTATCGCCTCTGTGTCTGTCCGGAGTTTGCCGGAGTTGAGGCCCCCTCGGTCGGTACGTCGTCCCGGTGAACATCCGTGCATGGTGGAGTTGCCTACACACCGGATCGCAGGTGGTGAGAATTTGGGGTTTACTCGGTAGAGCGCCCTGCTGGGAGAGGCTACACAGCAGTCTGCTGCTGCCTAAGGAGTGTTTGGAGTAGGTGGTGGGCAGTAGTGTTACCATGTAACCCCTTTCACCCCTATGCTCAACCTATTATAATTCTGATATTTTAAAATATTTTTAATATATTTCGAAAAAATACATTTATTTGATTCTTCTATATTTTTATTCAAATCGCTCACCTACGTAAAAGTTGATAGAATTTCTAAATCTATTAAAAATATTCTAAATCTAATGAAAATATAGAGGTAGGTCAACTTTTAGGTAGGTCTAATCAGCTGCACCGCATTGGTCGATCCAGGTTTTGTACTTTAGTTGGCATAATACACGCGTTAGTCCTGATAGCTTACACGTTCATTGGCTGCTTTGCGACGAAGCATATTAGTCACTTCAACTAAACTTTTTTTTCCGTGCATGACGTAGAGGTCTGAAAATTTCAGGGTATCATTGCTCTCACTTTTAGACAACGAAACGGGCTTAGGGGGGTGAATGGACATTGTATGTTTCGTCCCAAATTTCTGAAATGTTTTTTTTTTTTTTTTCCTCAGACCAATATAGGTGGACTTGTTCGAACTGCAAACGAGTTTAACATTCCAATTATTTCGTACCACGCATGGTCTCTGCTAGACGTATTCGAGTTTGCGTCTGGATATGAAAGGTAAGTATTTTTGTTCAGTTGTTCAGTTGCACTATATATACAGACGAAGGAAGTTCCCGAGACGGGTCTGGGAATTGAATACTTTTTGCGACCAATCGGGTAATAATGTTATGCTTGCTGAAAGACTTTGGGTAGGTTTGAGGTCACACCCCACACTGTTAAAAATTCTGTGGAGAAACCACAAACAAAAGTGTACGGATTGCTTCTGTTACAGAAATTTTCAGTTATTTTGGGAACACCCAAGTCGATACCTTAGACTAAAAAGAACGCAGTTCATCCGGGCGTTTCGAAAGGCACGCAGTTCAGCCGCACGTTTCAGAAGAGACGCAGTTCAGCCGCGCGTTTCGAAAGACACGCAGTTCCTATCTCTAGAGCGGTAAACTGCGTGTCTTTCGAAACGCGCTGCTGAACTGCGTGCCTTTGAGTCTTTAAAAAAACAAAAACAAGCGACACATTTTTCAGAGAGGGTTCAAAGAAGGGTGGTATACGACTTTCTGATCCTTCTGATTTATATCAAATTTCACGCAATTTCCTTTCCATTGCAGGCGCCCATTTGGACTGATTCACGTGGACTACAAACATAAAACTCTGAAACGTACTCTAAAGGACTCCTCGACGTTCTTTATTGAGATGGCTAAAGTGGGCCGAGTTCCTACTTCATCGTCGGTATCAACTTTGTCACCACCATTGTCAACTCGAACACCGTCTGCAGCCACATCAGTTACGTCTCTATCAATTCTGCTGACAGTTAACACCTTATTAATTTTGGCGCTTTAACTGATAACAAATAAAAATATCACAGCTATCGACAATTATTAACCTTCCCCCACTCTTTTAGAGAAGCCTTACCCTGACAGGGACTGGCCACGGACAATCTATAGTCTTTAACAGTAACTGTCAGCATTGTCCCTGTCCAGAAACCAGGGCTAGAAACGTAATGCGATTAAATTTTAACTAGGTAAGATGTACGCCAGACCATGGTTCTTGTGACTCGTGATATCACTGTCCCGTCGGTTTAAGTAAAACTCCCTTCACAATTTTTAGCCCGCCCTTCTGCTTTGAAAAAGCTATTCAGCGGGCTTATATGCAAACGACCTCGTGTCTGTGTGTCTGTCTGTCTGTTCCACTAGAAGGAGATGTGCTAGAGACTTGAAATTGTCAGGGTATCTTAAGGTCTACTCCTTGAGAACGAAATGCCTACGGAAAATCCTGGCAACCACCCCTAAGGGTGTGAATGGGGGTTCCAAGGTTGAAAAATTCTCCGAAAAAGTATTTATTTTTATGTTCTCCGAAGGGGCGAGTCGTGAAAATAGATCCCGTTACAAAAAAAATTCGTCCGTTTCACTCTATCTCCAACCGTTTAGGCGCTAGAGGGTTTTTTTTTGGACGAAAATAAGCTAAAAATTGCTAAAGTGACCAATAAGATGTAGAAAAAGGCCTAAAAATAGAAAGGAAACTCTCCCCCCCCCCAAAAAAAAAACGTTTTCTAAGCAGAAGGGTAGGTTGTAGTCGCAGTGCTTCACCGTCACATCCCTTTCTCGAGTCTTTGGGGCAAACTCAAAGGCGGCGGGTTAAAGCGGGCCGAAGGCCCACTACATTATTCGATCATGTTCTTCAGCAAATCGCGTGACAGAAACGGTCGGGCCGCAGGCCTGACCATCGCCGCCGGCAGGGCAAGCAGGCCCGGCCTCTGCCCTTTGGCGGAAGGGTGGGCCTGCTTGTTTCTTTTAGCCCGCTCTTTTGCTTAAAAGCTATGTAAGCGGGCTTACGCCATCGCCCCTGTGTCTGTACGTCTGTCCGTTGCCCAAGAAGGACGTTAGCTCGAGGTCTAAAATTTTCAGGGAGTTATTGTTGTCACTTATAGACAACGAAACGGTTGGTGCATATCCTGGCAACCACCCCTGAGTGGGTCTGAGGAGGTAACAAAGAAATAGGGGTTGGTCCAAGAAGTGGGTAACTTGTGGAAGTAGAACCCTCTCAGCTAAAATTTGGTCCATTTGGCACTATCTCTCACCGTTTAGGCGCTAGAGGGAGTTCCTCTCACAAAAGTGGCCCAAAAATATATATTTTGATCGTTGGAAATATTTGATGGTCTCCTAAGGGTAAGCTTGTGAAAGTAGAGCCCTTATGGACTAAATTTTCGTCCGTTTGGCTCTATGTCTAACCGTTTAGGCACAACGCAAGAGGGAGTTTCGATCACAAAAGTGGCCCAAAAATAAATATATTATCTTCAGAAAATTTTTCATTGTCTCCAAATGAAAGAAGAACCCTCTGGGCCGCTTTCACTGTTTCTAACAAAAGGGAGTTTTTCTTACCAAAGTGGCCAAAACAGAAATATTTTTTTATTTTTTAAGGAGTACACTTTTGTCTGAGAAGTATGCCGTCGGATCAAAATTTTCTTCTAAGCAGAAGAGTGGGCTTATTTTATGGTGCATCACGGTCTATCCTCTGATTTTTTTTTGGGGGGGGGGGGGGGAATTTTTTAAAAATTTCTGAAGTTAGGTTGGTATGCAGCAGGTTCTTGAAGATCCCCCCTTTTGGTAGCCCGTGGCAAGAAATAAATGGAGGTCTGACACTAAATATTTTGGTTGCTTTTAAGATTATTAATTTGAGTTCTTAGGTGGACGATTTACATGCAAAAGCAGTAGTAATTAAAGCAACCAATTATCCAACCAACGGGGCGTCACCCGGAAAAACAACAATACAATGCAAGGACAAACACTACCGCCCAAAACCAGCGGAAAAGAAGTACAAAAGTACCACCGGACACACCAGAAACACTACACCGCTCACAACCTAGCTGGACAAGCCGGACTCACACCAGAGCCGGAAATACGTGGGACACCCCACGGGACGGCCGGACGAACCGAGCAGTACAAACAATTCTCCAGAAACACGGAGAGCGAAACGGGTAAACACCCGACAATCGTCTACACACACGCTCACACTCACACAATACAATTACTGGGCCCAGATTTCACTATTACATAGACTCACTACTGTGGTGACAGCAGACATCATCGCAGACGCAATATGGCGGCGATGACAAGCCGGTGGGTGCGGGGGCGCGAAGGGCGGCGCCGCAATGGTGAAGGGCTGGGCGAGGCAGGCGCCGGCGACTTCGGCATTGACAGCATGGCAGCAGCTAGGGAGGCGACGGCGACCTTAGTCACGCATCTTGGTGGCACTTAGAGCTCTGGACAACTTATCTTGAGACACAGATTTCAGTCCGCTCCAAAAGTGCAGCCCCACCCGGGTCGAGCTGCAGCCCGAGAGCGCACCATGT